TTAGTAGAAATTCAAGGACTTAAATGTGAAAGCACTCCTTGGATTAATTGATAATGCAATGGGCACTAATCATGTGTTTAGTGGAATATAAATGTCAACATCAACAATTATTAATTGTCTCAATGATTTTATATATACTTGGTTTTTATGGTCTGACTCACTCAATGTCTCGCTGTATTCCCCTTCATTGTCTCACTCAAAGTTGTCTTATCCTTCACTTCCCAAAATTTTGCTTTCACAAGCCATCTTTATCTTTCACATTAAGCTTCAAATTTTAAGATTTCTTGATTCTCCTTCTCTTTCAATTTTTTTGATGAATAAAAAATTATTTCTTTCTTTTATTAGTATTATTATGATTTATAAAATTAGAAATTGAGATTTACCTTGTTGAGTTTTCTTGGTACAAGACTTGCAAAGCTTGTCTGAGGATAGTTGAACAATGTAATAATTATGTACCAATTTATTGCAATGTTCCTTAATGCATCCATCTGCTTTTTGGAAGAGTCTTCAGTGTGTGTCTAAGGATATGCTTGACATGTAATGTCAGCATATTTTTATGTGGGGTGAATTTTTTAGTTTGTGTCTCCATAGAAGAAGGCAATTTTAAAAATTTTTGAAATAAATTAAACATATATTTTTTATTTATTTTCTATTTGTCTACATATATCTCATGTGAAATTTCCAAAACTCTAATTTGGATAGTTAATTAAAAGGTATGCTTGAGTTCAATTTTGTGAACTCAAACTCAAATCTTGATAGTTTATTAAATAAGTTTGATAAGCAGGCTCGAGTTCGACTTATTAAGTTCATATCAAATGAATTTTTTTTAAGTCAAATTTGAACCGCTCATGAGGAACTTGATTCATTTACACATGACATTCATACTATAATACAAAATATTGTAAAAGGAGATATCTTATATATACTTATGGTAATAGAATTTGGCATTAAAGATGAGGAAGTACTAAATATTTCAAATGTGATTTCAATAGATTCTTGTTTCAATTTCTAGAAAACTACAAGACTATAATAGTAAATTAATATTTGTTTTAATGAAAAATATTAAATTAATATTTAGTTACATTATTTTAGTGTTTGCTCCAAAATAATTTAATCTTATTAGAAAGTTAAGAGACAAATTGCTAATTAATATTATCATATAATAATTGGCTAATGTGAATCCAAAGGTAGTCTTATTGATTTATGGTATATAAAGTATTAAAATGGGGTTCCACATTCATTCATATCAATTTGATTCTATAACAAAAATTGATTTTTTTTTTTTTTTTCTTTTCTTTTCATGTAGAGGACAAATTTTCAAATTGTAATAATTACTTCAAAAGCAATTCCATTTCCTTTTTCTATTTACCTTTTTTTTTTTTCCCTCACTTTTTCAGAGCATAGAAATTGTGGGGCTTTTTTTTTGTAAAGGTTAGCAAAATTTAAGGTAATGGGACATCTAATGCTCAACATGCTCCTTGACATAGACAAAACTTTTCTTTTTGGTAAATGGAAAAAGAAAAATGTTGAATGGGAAAGAAAGTTGCATGATAGCATTGGGTAATTACTTTAGAATTTAGGTTTTGTTTATCTTATATTTATTAAATTTGTAAATGATTTTTTGCATGGTTATAATTACACTTCAATTTCATAGCAACAAAATTATTAAATTTTAATTTTAATTTTCATAATGGCGTAACGAATAAAAATGCAGTCAACTTTGCAACTTATTGTAACTGCAATCTATTTTAATTTTTTAATAGATAGGTCTCGAAGTAAAATTTAAAGTTTAATTACAACTTGTAATTGAATTATAGTGTAATTCTAATAACGTGTAAAGTTTAGAGTATTTTTTACATCGTAAAATGATTAATCAATTTTTTTTCTAATCTCTCTTTCTTTGAATAGAATAAAACTTAGTAAAGAAATAATTTTATAATTTTTTTTTAAAAAATATTATGTGTTATATTAAAATATTTAAAATGCATTATATATATTGGAAAATAGAATTTTTTTGGTATTAAAAATTGAACTTCTTAAATTATGTTTTCTTATAGTTTTTCCTTGTTCATTTGAAATATTTATATTATTTTATATAATAATTTAGGTCATATAAATATTTTAAAAAATAAGATCAGAGTATTCGAACATCATAGTAAAGTAAACAATTATGAAATTTGAAAACTTTAAAGTAATAATTACTCGTGGATATCATTATAAGTATAAGTGATCATTGGTTGATTTATACATTAATTTATTATTATAAAATTGTTGATAATCAAATATAACTGACATTTAGTGTATATATATATAATAAACTTTAGGGTCACTTAATTATTTTTAAAAAATAAGATCAGAGTATTTCGAACATCATTAGTTAATAATTAAACAAGATTATGGAAATTTCGAAAAACTTTAAGTAATATATTACTCGTGTGGACGTTCATTTATAAGTATAAGTGTTCATTGGTTGATTTATAATTTAATTTATTATTATAAAATGGTTTGATAAATCAAGAATATAAACTGACATTTAGTGTATATATAGAGCTACTTATATCATATATATATATAGGTACTATATATAAAAGTTAAATCTAAGTAGTATTGTTTACGTTGAGTGCAATTACTTTTATTGCAAAAAAACCAAATTATAATCAAAATACTATAGATAAATAAAGTCAACATATAAGGAACTCAAATTCTTAAAAATTAAAACATATTGTATGTTTTGGTTGGTCTCTAAGTTAATTGTTAAAAACTAAAAAAAAATACAATGAAATATAATTTAATTTTTAAAAAAAATAAATAATAATCTTAGATTAATATGATATAGGCAGCACATATATTAATTTTTAATAGAGATTAGATATATATATGAAAGTAAATCTAAGTAGCATATTGTTATTGTTGATGCAATTATTTTATTGCAAAAAACCAAATTATAATCAAATACTATAAGATAAATAAAGTCAACATATAGAACTCAAATTCTTAAAAAATAAAATATTTGTATTTTTGGTGTCTCTAAGTTAATTTTAAACTAAAAAAATACAATGAAATATAATTTAATTTTAAAAATATATAATCTAATAGTTAAAAATAATTATAGCAGCATATATTAATTTTTAATAAGAGATTAGAAAAAAAATTCATGAATTGATTAATCGTTTTGTAATACCCGCATTTTATGTTCATAAGCCTCAGAATTTATCAAATTGAAAATACGAATATTATTTCTATAGCATTTCACATTTAATTGGTATTTCAAAGGTATTTATGATTAAATAATATGGAAGATAAATAATAACCGGTGAAAAGTAAAAGTTAAAAAAAAAAAAACTTAAATTATATATTGAAGATATTGTTTTTAATTTTTATAATGCAGTCAAGCTTTTAAGTTATTAAAATTTAATTCTTACAAAAAATTTGTTTAATAATCTATAGCGAGCCCATATTGTAATCAGAGTATAAGTGGGCTTATTTGGCCCAAAAGCCCATATTGTAAAGATATTGTTTCCTTTTCTTTTTTTTCTTTTTCTTTTTGTTTTTGTATAACTATTAATTAAAAAAAATCATAAAATATAACTAAGTTATCCTGATCCAATTAAATTTGATTATATATACTTCCATCTTGTAGGCATAAAAGAGGGCACAACGCTAATTGCATTGCAACCGAAAGCAATCCCAATTGAGTTTGCTTCATATTTCCAAATTCCAATGGATAGTTAGGCATTTAAGGGAGCACAACCCCAATTGTATGCAACCACCCTAAAATTGCTCTCCTTTCAATTCTCCTCCAAAATATTTTCTCAATGTATATGTATATATATACACATATCTAGTGTCCGTAAATCTTTCTCATCCTTGAAGATATTTATTCACATTGTGAAATAATTGAGACTGATTAACAGATTAAGCGTGCCAGGTATTAAAGTTATAAAAAACTGCTAGCTTAACTTGAACTTCTTAATAAAAGAACTGAAGGATTGACTCTACGACAAATGCTTCATCGACTACTGAAATAAATAGACAATGTTGAAACTAAAAATTGTAGAAATATTGTATATGAAATAAATTGCTTGAAATTGAAATAATATATTAACAATGATTGTAATTGTGAAATAGAAATTGACTTGGAAAAGGGAAATTACAATGAAAATAAAAGAAATTAAAAATGAAATTGCTCGAAATTGAGAGATAATTGCTTGAGAATTGCAATTGAATTGTTCTTAGTTTAATTTTTGGAGTTGATTGTTGGGCCTTCCTTAGTGGTAACTTCTTTTTATCGTGCATTGTGTGAGCAATTGCTATTGATTCCTTGTGTAAATCACCTCCTCTTAACTCATAAATCATCTATTTGACTAATAATTAATTAATTAACTTTGGGCCTCTAATATTTATAAAAGGCCTAATTAATTAATTTAAGCCTAAACAAATTACAAAACCATAAGTCAAATCCATAATACTCAAAAATTAAAATTTGTTGGTGTAAACACAATTTTTATAGGAGCATTACCATCTCTTCATTTGAGTTCATATATATATATTTTATAACTAGGAGAACGAACTCGTGTTCTCAACTTTACAGGATTGAGATCACTTACTATTCCAACTAACACATTATAAGTAATATTATTATTTACTTGATGAGAGAATCATTTCACCTTACAGTGAAATCACAATTCCACTTAATTTCCTATTTAAACTTTTTAAAAATAATTTTTTAAATTTAAATTTATACTTTCATAAAATACATCGATATTTAAATACAAATATACTAATTTGAAAAATCAATTCATAATAATAATTTTAGAATACAATCAATTTTGAATTTTGTTCTATTTTGCAACTATTATATATTAGAAACAAGGAAATTAATCATCAAACTAATAATACATCATTATAACTATAACACGTAATTGGAATAGTAATTCAATAATTGAGTATATATCAACCTTGCATTGAAAATACTAATAACAATTTGGAACACAATAATATAAAACACAAAATAATAATGACAATTTATAAATGTTGATGAAATTATCTAAATAAAAGTTGCACTACAGCAAATTTCAAAGTTGAAATTATAATTAGACACTTAACAAAAACATACTAGTATTTCATTTAATTTTTTTTTTTTTAAAAAAGGAGAACCTACTGGTATTTATTACACTGTATTACAACACGCATATTTCAACTACTTAAACCGATCGGTCTTCTCCTTTTAACTCCTCTTTTTTTAGTTATTGCCATCTTTAACAGACTCAGTGAGTTGCTGTCTAAGTAGCAACACTGTGTAAAACAATCGTCTCGACGGTAAGACCCGGCCCAAACCCAAATAGAACACCCCATTCAAGCCCTTCGCCGGTAGTAGCTTTCCCTTCTTCAATAGATTTCTTTCTCATTTCATCTAAAATGAATAATACACAAGCACTGGACATGTTACCATACTCACTCAATACATGGCGGGTTGCTTTCATTTTCTCTGGTTTTAAGCTGAGTTTAGCTTCAACCTGGTCAAGAATGGCTGGTCCGCCAGGATGAGCAATCCAGAATATAGAGTTCCAGTCATTAATACCAATAGGAGTAAAAGCTTCAACTAAGCTTTTCTCAATATTTTTGGAAATTAATCCAGGAACGTCTTTTAATAAATGAAAAGTTAAACCCACTTCACGTAGATGTCCGTCGATGGCGCCGTCGGAATCCGGCAAGATTGTTTGAGCTGCAGAAACAAGCTCAAACAAAGGACGCTCAACGGAAGTATCTGGATCTGCACCGACAATCAAAGCACCAGCACCATCACCGAACAAAGCTTGACCTACTAAAGAATCCAAATGAGTATCAGACGGACCGCGAAAAGTGACAGCCGTAATTTCCGAGCAAACAACAAGAACTCGGGCGCCTTTATTATTCTCCGCTAAGTCCTTAGCTAAACGGAGAACTGTGCCTCCGGCGTAACAACCCTGTTGATACATCATGAATCTTTTTACGGATGGCCGGAGACCGAGCAGCTTTGTTAGTTGGTAATCACATCCCGGCATGTCCACGCCGGAAGTTGTGCAGAAAATAAGGTGAGTGATTTTGGACTTAGGCTGACCCCATTCTTTAATGGCTTTCGCTGCTGCTTCTTTTCCTAGCTTAGGTACTTCCACAACTACTATGTCTTGGCGAGCATCCAGGGATGGTTCCCAGTAAGCACACATACTTGGGTTTTCTTTCAGGATTTCTTCGTTTAGGTACATGTAACGTTTCTTGATCATTGATTTGTCGCCTGTAGATGTTTCAACAAAAGGTACATATAGTTATAACGAGGATCACATGATTTAGTTGAAGGCTCAAGTGGGAATTAGTCACTATTGAATTTAGTAGACAATCAACAATCATGTGAGATTAGGAATTCCACATGTGATAAAAGTCATTTTATAAAAAATTGACAGTTACAGAATCTGAAACGAAATTAGTCTAAAAAAAAAAAAAAAAAAAAAATTAGTCTAAAAAAAAAAAAAAAAATAACATTATGAAAAACTGACAGTTTCTCAAACTTGAAAATGAAAATCTAACGCTAATTGGTGTTTTAAAAATGATTGCAGGATACCCGTGAAAACAAAAAACGGTAAGAGAAAGTGAAAACTGTGTTTCTATTTTCCAATTTTCAAGGTTGGAAATGTTATTTGGAGATTACCTTTAGAGTTCGATTCTTTAAATTTCTTAAAACAATAGTAAAAAAAAAGGAAAAAAATCAAATAAGCTACCATTTTTGTCATTTACCTGATAATTTACCAATTGCCATATAAATACCATTTATAAAAAAAAAAAAAAAAAAACATTTATAAAAACTGACAGTTTCAAACTTGAAATGAAATTAACCTAATTGGTGTTTTAAAAATGATTGCAGGATACCCGTGAAACAAAAAAGGTAAAGAGAAAGTGAAACGTTGTTTCTCATTTCCAATTTTCAGGTGGAAATGTTATTTGGGAGATTCCTAAGATTGATTCTTTAATTTCTTAACAAAGTAAAAAAAAGGAAAAAATCAAAAGTACCATTTTTGTCATTTACTATAATTACAATAGCAATATTTACCAATTTATATAAGTACCATGTTTGTTAATACAGTTGCAAATAATAATGACTTTGAATATATCTATTTATAATCGTATCATATATTACTTAATTACTTCTAAATGAAATTTTCATTTAAAGACACAATAATAATAATAAGAGACCATCACTCTATAAACTGACATTTTAAACTCAACTTGTTAAAATTATATGCGAGTTTAATTTCGATTCAAGTTTGAATCAAATTTCTCTTGATTATTAATCTATAATTAACAAAAATTATGACTTATTGTAGAGCTAAACTGAATTTTGATTTATCGATTGAGTTCAAATAAGCGACCTGGCTCATTTACGAATAATATGTTAATAATTTTCTGGAACATTAAAGAATATGAGGAAGAATTTACTTTCTCTTGAAGAACGATAAATGAGAGGGAAAAAGAAAGAAATGAAATTAACATACACATGCGCTTGAATTTTTCTTTTAACTCAGTCAAGTGGTCGCTTTTGGTGATCCTGAAGTAATAATCAGGATAATCAGCTTGAATAACGCAGTTGGCCGGAGTGGCGGTGCCAATGGCGAGGACGGTGGCCGGCCCTTCGGCACGCTGTGCCTTTCTGATTTGATCCACTGTGACGGCTGCCATTGCTGTAGAGTACGTGGAAGATGAGAAAGGGATACAAGTTATAAATTTCTTTCTTTCTCTCCCGGAGTTGTGGAGAAATGGAGAGGCAATGGGTCGTTTATATATGAGAAAGGGGTAGGTTTCATGGACGATCGGCTGATGACCACGTGGCCATTGAGTTAGCTGACTATTCCAGTGGTAGATATATGGTACCCCATGCATATTTATTGTTGAATTTTAGGTAGCTTCAAGGGCTTCTTTTTTTTTTTTTTGAAAAAATATCATGATTTTTATAATTTTATTTTGAAATTATGGTTTTTTAGAATATTGTTACTTAGTAATATACAATTAAAATTTATAAATTTCTGTTGTCTATTTTTAATAATATTGTTGGTAATCGGCCTCAATATTGAAAGAGAATATAAATTTAATTTATAGAAAACATATTTATTGAATGGGTTACGTTTTGAAAGAGAAATTATACATTTAATTTGAAAAAAATTTACTATTTTGATAATTTTTTTATATTTCATTAACATTTTGATTATTAAAATTAAAATTAATGTACAATTAAATGAAATGTATTGATTTTAATAATTTTGAATTTAATTTTATAAGTTTATACTAAATTTTATTTGAAAATTGTGGTTGACATGATTTATTTTGTAATTTCTTAATTTGTTCTCCTTTTATTTTTTTTTTCCAACTATTTTGTTGTGTTAGGTCCGCACAAGTGTTGGTGATGGCTTGAAAATTCCGCCCTATACCTTGTAAAATCATAACTGAAAAAGTAGCTAGCAACAAGCATTTAGAAAAGGAAAGGAAGCCTTTCAAAAAAACAAAAAAAAAAAAAGGTATTTATATAATTCTTATATTTTGTTTTCAATGTGCTATTTTTATATGGAAATAAATCTATTTTTGAGTCCTTAATTTCTTGAAAATTATTTTTTCGATCCCTTATTGTTTAATGAAAGTCGTGAAGTTTTCAATCTACAGAGGTCTGAGAATTTTTTTTCTGTTATTTATTTTTTTTGAAACTTAGTAATTCATTAATAATAAAAATGTAATTTTGAATATATTATGATATTTTCATAGGAATAAAAAACATATAAAAAATTAAAATTTTCTGTTTAGAAATGATCTTGAAAAAAAAAAACTAAAATTATATAGTCTTCATACGAAATCATATTTGAAACATATAAAATCTAAAAAATTATTATTGCTAGAGTGACCATTCATGAGATTAATAAAAAAAAATGAAATTAAGGGTGTTACAAAATCAATTTTAAAATGTAAATCAATTTTAAAATTTAAAGGTTAAGTTATGTATTTGCCTAATATAATTATTTCTATAAAGGTAGAGTATGTACCACAGAAGCAGTGAGGGACAAGAGGCTGGCAAGGGCCAGAGCGTCCGTTGCTGCACATAAATGTTGTGTACGAAATACGAACAAAGATTCCATAAACAATGAATTGGAATTCTGAGGATATGGGTTTAAAAATAGATTTTGACTTTTCAGAATATAAGATTAAAAAACAAAGAAGAAGAAGAAGAAGAAGAAGAAGTGGTGTATTAGAAAATTATTTTCTATTTCAAGAGAACTGCTTGCTATTTGCTTTCGTTGACTCTTCGCACTACAGGAATACCACACGTTTAATAAACTTTAATATAATCTAAATTTCTTGTGTTCAGATCTATTACTCATAGAATTTGTTTAATAAGAATATATAATAATCGGAAGCGTACCTTGATCCATAATAGTAAATCTATGTTATGAGTTACCTCGTTGCGACAATTCGATTCTCTCCGTAACAGCAGATCTACATTTCTTCCTTATGTGTTTAAGGCAGCTGTCACACTCTCTCTATTTTGTTTTCTTTTCTATGTGTACCCTAAACTGTCGATTCCTTTTACTTTTATAAGGCAGAGGATGGGTATTAAAACCTTAACTGGCTCTTATCCATTAAACCCAATAACCATCATCGTGTACCACCTTAATTAGAACCAACCCTTTAATCACATGGGCTATATATAGATTATTAAATAATCTAAAATTGTCAACTAATACGATTAATTAATTAAGAGATATTAAGAAATTAGTTTTAATTTAATCTGATTATTCTCTTATTAGTATATATATATATTTTTTTTTTCTTTGAGAATGAAAAAATAATATATTAAGAAGATGAATCGCTCAATACAAGATGGGAAATAGAGGTAGGAACCTCTTCAATCAAAATAGCCAAAATAAGGAAGAAAATGCTATAGCAGAGAAGAGCATGAGCAACCTCATTTCCTGCTCTATGGCTCCGAGTACATTTCCATTAAATACGTTAAGAATCGGAGCCTTAGAAAAAAATTAATTAAATCAAATTTCGAAGCCTTAAAAGTAAATTAATTAAATCAAATTTAATTATATATTTAATATTGGGCTTATAATGAGTCGGACTTACCTTTAATATAAAATGACCTAAGTCATTTTGATTGGTTCACATTTCACATTATATGTCATTTTAGTTAATTGTATTTATCCAATATAAGATTATCCACATACTCCAACAAAATAGCGTTAGAAAGCACAAGCTTAATGCTCTATGGGTGTGAGTACATTTCATTTTGGTATCAAGTATCAGCAGCTCAATGCTGATACTTGATAATATAAGTTTTTGTATTATTTAAATTTTTTTGACCAAACTTATTATTATTTTAATTTTTATTCTTTTTGGATATTTTGTTAAAATTAAACCTTATATATATGATATTTATTAAATTGTCCTTTTATCAATTTGCTTATAGTGCCTAGATTCTTACGCTGCGATCAACATAGTATTAGTATTGGTTTGAATCTTATAGAGAAAAATAAAAAAAATAAAAAATTAAGAAAGAAAGACAATTTGTATCTATTTAGAACGAGGGTTATGATGACAATGTCAATTGTAATATAAATGTCATTAACTTCTGAAATTCTGAAATTTTCTCATGTTTCTTGGAGGGTTCACAGCTTTAAACGATCGGCTTCTTCATGCTGTTACTGTAACCTATTCTAGAATTTGCTTATAATTTTTTGGTTTTTTTCTTTTTTACTTACTAAAAAAGCAATTCTGAGATTTTGAAAATAGTTGAATTCAATCGACAGTAGATGGAAGGCTTATAAAACGATAAGAAGATTTGTAATTCATCTGATTAAAAAAATACATACTCTTGGTGTAATTACAGGAAGAAGATGGTAATTCTTTTATTGTACGCATGCAGTGATCCCTTAACGAACAATAAATTTTTCTTTCCAATAATTAAATTCTTGAAGTTGTTAGCATGAAAAAAGTTCGTCCATTCTAGATAACATGAAAGTAACAGCTATCAGAATCATTTCGAAGTCAAGGAGAGAGATTTCGCGAGCTCGACCAAAATTCTAAAACATGAAACAGTTGAAACTTGAAGGTGGGTTAATTTTCAAATATTTGAAAACATGGTGTTTGTCATTAATTACTCCTATTGTTGATTAAGAAAATTTGCAAATTTTCTTTTTTCAAAGATCATATGCCTATTTGCATGGAGGATAGGAGATAAGCATGTGCTATTTTCGTATTCTTGGAATCTCAGCAAGAATATTACGTGAGAGTACACAAGTTTTAAAATTCTAATTAAATAAATTCAGTCAATTAAAAATACAATAACTATATTACTTTTAATTATTAGTTTTGGTACATCATAATCTTTTTTTTTTTAAAAAAAAAAACAAGAAATAAAAGTTCAAAGTTGAACATTTTATAGTCAGATTTTGAATTATTAGCTCTTATATGTATCCAATGCATTTGAGAGTAACAGGGGAATTTAAGCCACAAATTAATGTCTGAAAGAAATGAATGCATAGCTCAACCAACTGAATTAATGAGATGTAGCAGTTATGGGCAAAACATGGCAGTAAAGACCTACCTAACCCCTCTTGTTCCTCTTTAGGTTGTTCATGTTCATGTTCATGTTCTAGTCCCTACTTATCTATCATTCATACCTAACCACTCCTTCCTTTGTCTTCTCTTCTACCAGTCATTTTGGCCCACAAAATACACCATTCCCACTCAGCAGCCATCAAGTTCCAGTACATCTTTTCCAACGTCATGGCCCCGGTTTCGATTTGTAATAGAGGGAACCAAAGTAAACTTTGTGCTCTGATTAAAATAACATGCCAGTTTTCATTTTGATTTTCATTTGGAAATCCAAATAGAATCTTGTAATAAGTTTATGTCATTAATCGTAGAAGTATGCAAACGGTTTATTTCATCATAACTTAATCAAATCGATCCAAATTAAACAAACTGAAATTTTTTACAGCAAAAATCAATTTGATCGCTTTTTTAAAACGAACCAAATTGGATTGAACTAATTTATTTTTTGGTTTGATTTTATTTTTTTTAGTTTTGTGATTTAACTCAAAAATTACTTATTGCTTCAAATAATTAAAATAACTATTGAAAACAACAAAATATTTGAATTTCGATTTGATTCGATTAAATACATTCAGTTTGATTCAGTTTTTCCATCTATACAAAAATTGAACAAAACAAAAATCTGAATCTTCAAATCAAAACTCAGAAAGAGCGAGAGTAAATATCCTTCATTTGACATTATAGCTATTTTTATAATTATCATTAGTTGCTTTTTTACAATCTTTCACTTGAAACACAATTGGATAAGCATATGCTCCTCTCCCTTCTAAACTGAAGAACAATTGGAGATTTAGATCACATGCCTTGCACTTTATTTTTGTTTTTGCCGTGTTGCTAAAGTTCAAAGCCAAGCATCCCTCCTGCATGAGCAAAACACTTAAAACACAAACTAACAATCATCCAAACCAACCTCCAACTGTATATAAACATTGAGATTTTTTCAATTTGAAGCTCAGAGCAAGAAAATTTTATACCAAGAGCGATTTGTCTTCTTGAAGTTGAAAAGGCACAATGAACCGTTTCATTCTTGTAATGTTGCTGCTGATATGCATAGGAGCAGAACAGGTTCAGGGACAAAAAGCACTTGCAAAATGCCTGTCGACTTGTGGGGAAAGTATTCTAAAATGTGCACTCGGTTGTGCGCCAACGGGAATGCCGCAGTTGGCCAAGTGCATCCTCAAGTGTGGTGTTGCTAACTTCTCGTGCATGGAAAAATGTGTTGGATCACCTGTTAGACCGCCGCCGCCGCCGCCACCACCGTCGCCACCTCTATTGCCTGTGCATTAACAATTCTGGTACCTGCAAGTGTCAGGATACATAATAATGTGGCAGTGTTATACTGCTAGCCCAAAAATAAAGGATAACAGGCTACTTGCAGCGTAAACGCAGTCCAAATAGAAACTTACTATGTATGAATGCCATTATTGATTTGTAATGAAAAAATAATAATTAAAAACTTGAACTTGATTTGATTAATAGATAATATCTGAAACAACAAGATTCTGCAGCAGAAGCTGAACAGGTGTTTTTTCAGGGTAAATATTTTTATCAGTACATTACATTGCAGGATATACAGTTTCATGCCTAGTTTTGTTGCCCTCGACTCTTCTTTTCCTCAATACCGGATTGAGAAAATCTACGTCGAAGGACATCTAGCACATCTTCTATTTTTACGTCTTTAAGAGCCAAGAGAACCATGGTATGGTATAGCACATCTCCCATCTCTGAAGCAGTTCGTGCACTATGCTCATTTTCTTCTATTGTTCGGCATAATTCATCTGCCTCTTCCCTACAAATGACAACGTTGGTAATGATCATCTAATGTTGAAGAGGCTCATATAATCCTTCTCATAAAATAAAAGCAATATAACCTAAATTGAAGAAATCTCAAATGATATTAATCGTAGAACTAAAAAGAAAAACCAGAACCTAATGCAGTAAGGGGGCAAAAGATAGGAATAAGTCTAACTAACACAGGACTGCATCTTATTTTTCTCTTTTTGTATTTCTATTTTTTTTTCTTTTTTAAACAAAGGGAGGAATTGATAAAAATAAAGTAAGAGAGAAAATTTAGCCTACCGAGCTTTCTTTTACAATAGGAACCATGTAGGAACCTTTACAAATCAATTCTAGTCAAGCAGGTCACCTACCGGATTTTTGAACACAATAAGTTGCGATCGAGTAGTAATCGCTTAGTCCAAGAGGGTTTTCCATCTTCTGGCACTACTAATTCTGCTTTACGCTGGGAAATTGTTGACTCTAATGAATACAAAGTGGTTGATGCCAACCTATTACCCTCCACCTGTAACAGATAATGAAGTTTGCTTAAAAATCCATAAATTGACAATTTTTCAGAAAATGCAAAATTAAGGAATGGATAACCACTTCAAGTGAAATGAGAATATTGAACCTGTTTATTTTCTAGAAAATCAGTAACTGATGTATAATAGCAAGTTTCTGACCCAGTGTGGCAGGTAGGTCCATCAGGCTTCCCAAGGTAAATTATCTGCAAGAAACCTAAACTAAATAAATATAAAGCACAATCAACGAAGAATATTTCATAAGTTTTGGCTATAGGTTGTTCAAAACATACAGAGTCACGATCACAATCAAGAAAGATGTCATGGACATTGATGAAATTGTTGGAGGTTTCTCCCTTTATCCACAATGTTGACCGTGACCGACTGTAAAATGTTGCCTTTCGAGAGGAAATGGTTGTAGCTAGTGCATCCCTGTTCACAAAGCCTTGCATTAATATGGCTCCTGTGTCAATATTTTGAGCAATAGCCACTGCCAAACCTTTGTCATCCCATTTTACACTGTCTAACAATGTTTCAACCTAAAATTGGACAGTTAGTCAACTCCAGCTTATGTTTATAGGCAAATTAAACTTAAGGTGATGCAACACTTAGAAGGATAGCAATATATTACAGTGTATGATTGAATTATTTAAAATATTCAATCTATCGGCAAAGAAATCACAAGAAGCAACCAGAGGCTAATTTGCATAACATGAATAATTAATTCATAAATATTCCATGACTAAAAAAAACTGTTAGTTTAAACATATTGAGAATTGCTTTAAAAGAATCATCCCACAGTGAAAAGATAAAACAAAAAAAAAAAGCACAGTATTGATGTGATCTTTAGAGCTAAAAGTGACAGAAAGGCATTCTTCTTGTAAGATAAAAACAAATTGGCTTTGCTACTTATTCGTGAGAGTCCAAGTGAATCATTCACTGTTACTCTATGCACATATACACAACATTTCAATCAGCATAATTAAAGCATTAACTCATACAAAAACCAGCAAGAATGACAAGTACATGATTAGAAAAGTAAACAAGCACACGCATTTTGGGGAAGAAAGGCAGGAGGAAATGTAGAGACCAGATGTAGCTCATATAATAATTAACCAAGTATTACTAGGCGATGATGGACACCTCCAAAAGAAGGCAAATATCAAAATTGGAAAACCCATGTAACATATTTGCTTTCCTCCCTTTTATTTTCCAGACATGTAACGATCCCTACTGCAAATGACACAGGTGGACACCTGACTATGTCTTGAGTGGTGCAGTGTACGGAGATTGATTGTGCTCAAGCAAATATATGCAAATGCAAAACAAATCAACTAGAGATTTAGAGTCCAGATGTAGCTCAAATAATAATTAAACCAATATTATTGGGCAACGATGAACACTTAAAAGAGATGGTTAAAAGAAAAACGGGAAACCCATATATCAAATTTCCTACACTTCCTTTGATTTTCCAGACATGTAACAATCCCTACCACAAAAGACATAGGTAGACATCTGACTATGTCTGATTGAACAACGCAATGCGTGAAGTCTTGAGTGGCGGAGTATACAGAGATTAATTGTGCTCAAGCAAATATATGCAAACGCAAATCAAACCAAGAGATGTAGAGTCCAGATGTAGCTCAAATAATAATTAACCAATATTATTGGGCAACGATGGACACTTACAAGAGATGGTTAAAAGAAAAACGGGAAACCCATAAATCAAATTTCCTCTCTTTCTTTGATTTTCCAGACATGTAACAATCCCTACCGCAAAGAGAAAGGTAGACATCTGACTATGTCTGATTGAATCAACCAAATCTCTACATACATAATGCATGAAGTCTTGAGTGGTATAGTGTACAGAGATTGCATATGCTCAAGCAAATATATGCAAATGCAAAACATAAATATTTCCTCTCTTTCTTTGATTTTCCAGACATGTAACAACCCTACCGCAAAGCAGAAAGGTAGACATCTGACTATGTCTGAATTTGAATCAACGCAAGATCTCTACATAACATGAATGCATGAGTCTTGAGTGGTATAGTGTAGCAGAGATTGCATATCGCTCAAGCAAATATTATGCAGAATGCAAAACAAGTCAATGAGAGAGATGCAGAGTCCAGATGTACTCAAATAATATAACCAATTTTATTGGCAAGATGGACACTTACAAGAGATGGTTAAAAAGACAACGGGAAACCCAAAATCAAAATTTCCTCTCTTCTTTGATTTCCAGACCATGTAACAATCCCTACCGCAAAAGAAGAAAGGTGATTTTCCAGACATGTAACAATCCCTACCGCAAAGAGAAAGGTAGACATCTGACTATGTCTGATTGAATCAACCAAATCTCTACATACATAATGCATGAAGTCTTGAGTGGTATAGTGTACAGAGATTGCATATGCTCAAGCAAATATATGCAAATGCAAAACAAATCAACTAGAGATTTAGAGTCCAGATGTAGCTCAAATAATAATTAACCAATATTATTGGGCAACGATGGACACTTACAAGAGATGGTTAAAAGAAAAACGGGAAACCCATAAATCAAATTTCCTCTCTTTCTTTGATTTTCCAGACATGTAACAATCCCTACCACGATAATACACAGTAGGCATCTGACTATGTCTGGTATAAAATCATTGCAATCAAACCGCCTTGAAGTAGACTCAAAAATGAAATATTAGCACTTCGCAGCCAATCTTTAGTGAAAAAGCAATTTTTTTTCACTACACTAACAATTCGACATTTAAGAGACAATCAACAAAATCGCAGATAATTGAAGTTAATTTGTGCATTTAGTTACCTTAGATTCAACAGAGAGATCTTTATCAGATTTCTTTACAGAAGCTAAAATTAAACGAGAGTTCTTTCTCTTATTGTCATCGTCTCCTCTGAAACCAATATGAGGAAAGAAGGCACAGCTTCTTGACGAAAACCTTAGAGATTGAATACAGTGCAAAGATGAAGCCGCCATTGCAAGCGCAGAAAAGCAAATGCTCCTCCTCTAAGCTCTTTCGCTCATCCTGCAACAAACCAAGACCGATGCCTCATTATAGCTTAATCAATGGAAGCATATTGGATCTCCACATATGAAGCTTAAATGAATATTACCTCGCTATTTAGAAACGACCTTAAGCCTTTGAAGCAATGGCCGCGGCGTCTGTCTTCTCACTCCATTGGCATTGCAGTGTTAGGGTTTTAAAGAGGAGAAGAGTATCATAAAAAAATACTTAAAAATGAGGGACATAAGTAGAGTCACTCGCGCGTGACGTAGTCCAAGTGACTGCCAATGAAATGAAATTATGAAAGCGTAACTCGGAAGCCGTTCGATGAAAATAATAATTGATCACTTCCTGTATTGCCCAAACTTTGAAACTTCCACTTCACTGTTTGGGTTTGCCCGGCGAAAATGATGGACTGTGAAGCAATTAACACATTTCACTCTACCTCACCCCCTCTGCCATCGCCGCGGCGGATTAATGTGTCTGTATCTCCTAAGAGAAACCCGGCAGATAGATGCTTCGGTTGTGGAGAATGTGGACACTGGAAAATGGATTGCCCTAATAAAATGGCAAAGAAATCACACCCTTCTAGTCCTTATCCTCCTCAAGCTCTTCACCAGATGAGTATGACGCAGTGGTTCGGTGTCCTTGTGGTCGAGGCAAGTGTCGCATTCTCACCTCTTATACACCGAAAAATCCTAAAAGGAGGTTCTACACTTGCCCTGTTGATAAATCATCGGTTAGTCATTCTTTTTTCAGTTGTTAGCTGCTAAAAGAATTTCTAGTTGTAGTGTAAATTAGATCGATATACGTTTGTTTTGTTAATTTTAAACAATTTTTATTCAGGGACCTTGTGGGTTTTTTAAATGGTGCGATGAATTAAGTAATAAAGCTCCTTTATGTCCTTGTGGTGCTGGGACTTGTAGACTGACTAGATGTTTTTCTGGCCCGGATAAAGGAAGAAGGTACTTTGCTTGCCGGGTTAAGAAAGTATGTTCTTTTGAATTCATTTATTTATTTATTTTGTGCTAATTGGGTATGATAATGAAGAAGTTTGCTTGAAATAATTGATTCCGTTGATTGAAGAATTCTTGCTATGCTATCCTCTGTTGATCTCTACTGCGAGATCAAAAACTGGAGCCATATCTGTTTGCAGGTAGCTCAGCGAAGAAGCAAGCATTTTTGAGTTGTCTGAAATGTAACTGTTTTGATAATATTTTTACTTTCCGTAAGAACCTCTTTTTTTCTGATTTTTGCTTTTTTCATATGCTTTGTGTGTGTTGGCTTGTTTCCTGACTCCTAAAACAGGCCATAAGCAACTCATCAGTTGTATATGTATACTTACATGTATGGATTGCATTGATTGCATCTCTGTCATAACAAGTTTTCTTCTTTATGTAACATGCATGGAAGACAACTAAACAAAGCTTTTTTTTCCCCTGCAAATATACAATTCGGTTACCCATTTGTTCATTTTTTTTTGGGGTAAAATAAGGTAATATGATGTCCTTCGGTTTAAATTTTTGTAAAATATGTGACTTGATTTGTGCAATTTATTATGAAATTGCATGTTGTCATGTGTCTGAAAAATCTCATCCAAGAACCCCAGACATGTCAACTGCTTGTAGTTCAACTGACATTTGAAATAGGTTTGTCTAACTAGCATTGGGAATTTGGATTCATCTCCGAGTCTGAGTCATGTATCATGTATCTGATGATCTCATAATTAAGCGTTCTTTAGCTGTTTATCTTCGCCATGATAATATTCTGAGTGTGATGCAGAGCCAAGGAGCTTGTTCTTTTTTCCAGTGGGCTGATTCTGAAGTAAATACTATGATGGAGAGGTGTGTAGGTGGATGGGAGGGCCACACATCTCTTCAGTTCAACAATGTAAATAACAAAGAAGTCACAGTTGCTTCTGTGATAGAAATCGTTGGAAATATTGACTCGGAGAAGAAAGAAGACACTTCTGAGATAGAGGCACCAGTTGTTATTGCACGTGCAGAGCAAGTTTCAGAAGGTTCAGCTAATCCGATAACAGATGTGGCCCCTCAAGCGATTGTCCATGTTGCGGGTGGCACTCAAAAGGAGGTAATCACTCTTCTCTTATTCCTGTTCCTTCTGCCTGATTACTGATTATTGTTTTATAGGAATCCGGAGACGAGGATATTGACTTCTTCTCAAATGTTATTCAGGTCGTTCCCATGCTTCTTGAAGAAGAAGTGGACGAGATCATTTCATCTCCAGGGGCAGCTTCGAATATAGATTTGAGGGTAGCCGAGATTTTGGACAACCTTCGGTACCTTGCTAATTACGAGCCAGACTTTGCCTCTGATGAGAAGTTATCCTCAAGATTTTATAAAGACATCGAATACCTTTGTTGAAATGCAAAAGGGAAACATGTTGATCAAAGAGGCCTTGAAGCAATTACAGAGATGGTTCGAGACTTCCCTCTCTTCCAAAGTGATATCACAGCTGCAATTAGTTTTTCCTCTCGGCTGGATGAAAAGCGTTTGATAGCTGAGCACCAAGACGCCTCCTTAAGCAAGGTTAAGGTTGCCGGCATGTTAAAAGCGAAGAAAAAGAAGGCCCCTGCTCTTGGAGAAAGCTCAGCTAGAAGCTCGTTTGGCCGAAATCAATACTCCTGAACTCGTTCTGCAATTGGAAGTGGAAGAACTAATACAACAGGTTCAACTTGAAGTCACCAAGACTGAGAAGGCCAAGGGTGAGGTAGCAGCTGATGAAGGAAAGAAAGATAAATTCGAACTCAAGCGTCGAATTGCCGAAGATAGTATCAAGAAGTTTTTTGAAGTTGTCTTCCCAAGACAAAATCAACTTCTGAGACTGTGTCCAGGCAATTCAATTTGTTGTTCTGGTGATTAATTTAATCAACCCAGTCGGTTAGACCGTTTTCTTTCAAATCAAGTATTTGTAAAACATACCTGTAAATATCTTTACCTGTGCTTGGAGCGTAGGTATTAATATCCGGTGAATCATTATCGGTGAAAGTGGGCGGCTTCTTCGGCCGATTCAAAGCTCTTTCCTGGTTGATTCTGTAATGATTTTGAATCGGCCATTGACGAGTACAGATGTTGGCAGCTCAAATTTATTCATCTACTATCTCTGAAGCAGTGCGTGCACAGTGCCCTGTGCTGATTCTCCTCTATTTTGTTCTGCATAATTCATCTGCAACATCTTCCCTACAACTTACGAGGTTGGTAATGATCTAACGTTGAAGAAGCTCATAGAATCTCTCATAAAATAAAGCAATATACCTGAAAAAATATTTAATAGAAATTTATTTTTTTAAAACAACTATAAATAAAATGATAGAAAGATATTAGTTTAAAAAAATAAATGATCTTATATGTAATTATGTTCATATGATTAATGAATTCATAAATATAAATTAGCTACTAATTGACAAAAATTTCAAAATGTAGCTTGTGCAATCAGCATTGATCGATATTTTTATCAGCTATTAATAGTAAGTCAAAATTAAATAATGAAACATAAATACGATTCGTTAAAATTATGAGATTAAGATTGAGTTTAAATGAGTTTATATCATGACCGGATCGACTTATATATGATGGCTTAAAATGTACATATTATAGATTGGTTAGTGGACCGCTTAATTAAGAATAAAAAAGTCAGTTTCCATGGATAATAGATATTATTTCAACAAAACACAAAAAAAATTTGTTGCGTTAATATTCAAATATATGACCTATGTAATTAAACGTGGTCAAAGGTATGGAGTTTATATAGCCCGTTTAATATTTTTCTTCAAATTCGAATATTTTATATTGTTAATAAATTAGTTGTGCTTGTGTTGATCTCAACTATGTCCATGTGTCAAATCAATTGGACACGAACCCAACCCATCAATCTATTTTGACACTCATGATTAGCTGTTGATCAAAATCTTTATTAAATACCTCTAATCTATTAATCTAATCTATTAATTGGGTATGAATCAGTATAAATCAATTGAATCAAATGTTATCGTAAAGTTTGAATCAAATTTATATGAAAGATTTAAATAAATCTTTATTTTTGTTGAATTAATAAGACTGTAAATGCATCAAGGCGCTCGTAAACTACTTGAGGCTCAACTCGATAAAAGTTTGTTCGAACTCATTAAATAAATGAGCCAAACTTATTAGTTTAATACATGTTTTATCAAGCTAGTTCACGAGTTAACTTAATAAGCCGAAATTAATAAACCTTATGTCAAAATGATGTCTTCTTAGTTTGATTGATGTGTTCTTACCGGTTTGCATGAAGGAGACTAATGTTAAAAAAACAAAATGGTAAGATGAGTTTGTTTACAATTGTATATATCAAACTCAATATTTTGTTATTTTTAAATGAGTCAAATTTGAGCTCAAATTTTCAAACTTAAGTAAATTTTTTTGAGTTTGAATTTGAATTGACTCGGTTATAATTTTAAAATTAGTAAAGAGTTAAAAAATATTTATTTATGTAATACAAAAGCAATAAAATATTAATGGAAATAAAGAAAGAATTTAAAATATTTTTGACTCAAATGGGAAAAAAAAAGTAATTTAATTAAGTTTGATGTTATAATATTATTGATTTGGCAATAACATTTTTGGCAATGTCTATGTCATTGTAAAAGAAGAATGACAATCCGTGCCATAAAAATTAGCTTGACTTTTGTGGATTATGCTTGCCTAATATAAATGATATTTTTTACTTAATTTTTAAATTTGTGCCCAATTAATTTTTTTAATTTAATTAAAGAATATCGATCATTTATTTGCTAATAACAATGTACGTTTAAATGGACTAGGAAAATTTTCCAAAAAAAAAGAGGAAAATGTAAAAAAATTAAAAATAAATATTATAAAAACAAAATTGTGATGATATAAAAATAAATTATAATTTAAAATGAATAAAAAAATATAATTTAAGAAATTTTTTTCTGTGAATACTCTCCTTTTAATAAAAATTATTTTTTATTAAGCTGGTGCGGGGTATTAGACTATGGGAGGTAAAAGTAGAGTCACTTGCCGTTGATGTAATCCAAGCAACTGCCAATGACAGGAAAGCGTACCTAGGAAGCCGTTTCACTCAACTTCACTCTGCTCAGACCGATCACTCTGAGGAAAATTGATCACTTCCTCTCTGCTCAAACTTACTTCACTCCTTTCTTTTTGGTTTTTTCCGGCCAAAATGATGGATTTTGAAACTATTAACCCATTTCATTCAACCTCAACGCCACCTTCATCACCGACACAGCCATCGCCGCCACCAATCTCTGTGTCTGTATCTCAGAGAAATCCGGCAGATAGATGCTTTGGCTGTGGAAAATGTGGACACTGGATAAAGGAATGTCCTAATAAAATAACAAAGAAATCACACCCTTCTAGTCCTAACTTAACCTCCTCAAGCTCTTCACTTAATACTTGTGATGTACTACTGATTCGGTGTCCTTGTGGTCGAGGCAAGTGTCGCATTTTCACCTCTCATACACAGGCAAATCCTGAAAGGAAGTTCTACACTTGTCCTGTTGATAAATCATCGGTTAGTCTTTCTTTTTTAGTGGTTAGTTACTGAAAGAATTTCTAGTTGTAGTGTAAATTAGATTGATTGATATAAGTTTATTTTGTTAAGTTTAAGCAATTTTTATTCAGGGAAGTTGTGGCTTTTTTAAATGGTGCGATGAATTAAGTATTACACCTCCTATATGTCCTTGTGGTGCTGGGTTTTGTAGTCTGAACAGAGATTCCACTAGCCCGTACGAAGAAAAATGGTACTTTGCTTGCCGGATTAAGAAAGTATGTTTTTTTTTTATTTCATTTGTTTATTTATTTTTGTCCTAATCCTCTATTTGATTTTCTTTAGTAATTGATTTAAGATGGTAGTTGCTAAGTATGACAATGGGGAATTTTGCTTGAAATATTGGTTGAAGAATTCTTGTTGTTGTAACTGTTTTTGCGTTCCTCTTTTTGATCTGTACTTTAGCCATCTCTGTCTGCAGCTATTTCCGAAAAGACTTTTTTTTTGTGTTGCTTGCAATGTAATTGCTTTGATAATTTTTTTTTTTATTTTCCTTTGTATTTTATCTTGTTCTGCTGGCAAGTGAAAATAGAGAACCTTTCTGATTTTTCAGTTTTCATATATTTTATGTTGTTGGTTGTGTCCTCACTCCTGAACCAGGGCCATAAGCAACTCATCAGTTGTATATTTATATGTATGGAGTGCGGTAACTGCCATCTCTAGTGATGCTTGTTATAACAAATGATTCATTGTGCGTTTTATTCTTATTTTTCACCTCAGGGAAAGAGGGTTTTCCCCTTTTCTTTTTCTCTTTGAGTTCATGTAACATGCATGGAAAACAATAAAGAATGCTTCGTCCCCCAACCTCCATCCCCCGCAAGCTATTATGAAATTGGTGACTTGGTTTATGCAATTTATTATGAAATTGAATGTTGTTGTACTTGTAAAAATCTCTTCCAAGATCCTCTTAGGTGTGTCTTTGATCTTTTCCACTTTCTTTTATATTACAACTGCTAGTAGGACAACCGACATTTGAAATAGGTTCATCTAACATTAGGAAATTGGATTCATCTCTCATATACCACTTATCTAATGATCTCATAATTAAGTGTTCTAGGTGTTTATGTTCACTTAAGATTGACTGTGATGCAGAGCCATGGAGCTTGTCCATTTGTCCAGTATGTTGATTCTGAAGTAAATGCTATGATGAAAAGGTACGTAGGTGGAAGGAGGGGGCACACATCTCTCCAGTTCAACAATGTAAATAATGACCTGGAGAAGAAAGAAGTTACAGTTGCTTCTGCGATTGAAGTTGCTGGAAATATTGACTCAGATATGAAAGAAGATGCTTCTGAGATAGAATTGCCAGTTATCATTGCAGCTACAGAGCAAGATGAATCCCCCTGTGGGGACCAAGTCATGCAAGGGGCAGAATCCTGGGATCCAGTGGCATTGAATACACTTGAAGTGTTCCATCAAACTCCAATATTTCAATCAGAGAGTCACCGCTTGAAAGAGTTATGGAAGCAAATTTCTGCTTCAGGGAATATGATAACTGGAGGTGTGAATTTTTTTTTATTTTTTCCTCGTTCTTTTTCGGGTTTTGTGGGGAAGGGGTTGTGCATGTGAGGCCTATTCATTTTAGTTTTATTTTATCATTTCAATTATTATTGGTTACTATTAACCATTTCAAAATATTGAGGTTATATTTCTTTTTTCTTCCTGGCGGTTCGTAGATGTTATTTATCAAATTTCAGGTCTTCGTGTATCTGGTTGGTTGGGTCGGTTTGCTTTTCCTCCATCGCAGTATCCAAAAGATTCTCCTGTCATGCCTATCTTTTGTTGTGAGCATGGCTCAACCCATTTCTTTGTTTACTTTCTTTACTCATATCAAGGGTTTTTGAGTCTGTTGACACTCTCATCTTTTGCAGGTGTTTTCCCTTCATTTGACCCTGTTACAATCCCGGAAGATGTGGATATATGTGATGCTGAAGGCTCATTTCTCTTACCACATAGTACCTCAAATGCTGAAACTGACACGCAAACTACTGGACAGAATGTTCAAGAGCCTTCAAATGCTGAAACTGACACGCAAACTGCTGGACAGAATGTTCAAGGGCTCAAAGATTCTGCTGTTATAAAAGAGAATGACACTAGCATATCAAAGTCAGTCTTAAACTCATATGGGCAAGCTCTCCTAAATATTCTGGAGTCTATGAATCCACCCAATCACGAAGCAATGGTAAAACTGGCAGACGATACTTTTAACATCTTCAAGAATCTGTCAATTCAATGTGATCCTTTTGTTGAGGGTGTAAAAGAATACATTCAAGCTGTATCAAAACTCCCTTCAATTGAAAAGTCTATGCCTAAAGGCCTCTCATCTAAAGAACTAAGTAAGCTGTACGATGCTGAGAAATTGCAATTCGACAATGTTTCTCGCCTCCATACTGAGGCCGTGACTGCTTACAAGGCTTCAAATAATCACCTCCAGTCACTTCAGGAAGAATTGTCCAGTGTCAAGGCTAGGCTTCTCGAGCTTGAGAAACAGTTGTGTTCTTGTGAGAGTGAAACATCTGCACTCAAATCACATCTTGGTGAAGTTGCCGAGGATATGTTGGAGTCACAGAGAAGTATGGAGGCTGCATCAAATGAAATGGTGGAAGCTCTAAAACTGGAACAGCAGAAAGAATCTGTCCTTGATGCAGCAAGGGCTGCAATGGAAACTGCAAGGATTTGGATCCAACATTGATATAACTAGATAATCTAAGTTACTGTATTTGTATAATAAGTACGTGTTCTAGTTATAAGCTGTACTTAGGTTCATAAACTGGCTGTCTTCTATGTAAAATATGTTAAATATAATAATATTCTAACTTGGGTTGAGTTGTAAATTTCAGATTAGGTGCATGCCTCTCTTCCTGCAAACAATGAAGCCCAAGTCTGATATTTAAGGCCGTTAGTAGTATATGGAAAAGAAACCGAAAAATTTTTAGGTATACTCACTCCGCGTGCGAAGTCAGTTATAGATCTATTCAATAAAATAAAATCATATTAGCTGAATCCATTCAATATCATAAAATCATATTAGTTGAATCGGTTCAAATAATTCTATTTCTATTTTTTAACTTGGTTTTTGATTTTTGATTTCGTTTTTGATTTTAATTTTTAATTTTATATAATTTTGATTTCAGTTACTCTTTTCAACCTGTTATAGTAAAATAATTATTTTCTGAATAAAATTCAACTGTATAACCAAATTGATAGGTTGAGATTCGATTTCAGTAAGACCAAAGTTCATTTTTTGAATTGTGCAGTTGGCAACCGAACTATCGCTTTGCACACCCTTTAATCGTTTATTGTAATTTTGCCAACAATAGATAGACGCCACTGCTCTACCAAAAAGGAGAATATGTGCGTTCCAACCGCCATTAAATGTAATTTCCTTTTCTCTTTCTTTTCTGAATAACTCCTTTAAAAAAATAAAAAATAAAAAAAACAAAATAAAAGGCTCCTTCTCCTGATGCCTCACACTTGCCGTTCGATTAGCATCACATTATTTATTTATATAATTTATTAAATTTTGTGAATTTAAGCTAACGTCTTATTTATATTTTTTTTTTTGTGATGGGCACCGTCTTGGAGCCCGATGTGACTGCCGATCATCCTGCTTCAATACTCCGGCCACAATCTCCCCGGCGATATTTTTTTTTCTATCTTCAGCGTCGCACACGGTGGGAGATTGAATTTCCTTTATTGATTGATTTTCTTTTATAATTTCTTTTCTATACGGTGAATCTCTCTTCTTTTGACATTTCTTCGAATACCTTCTTCTTCCTCTCTGGTCTCACCCGTGTTTCCAGTCCTTTTCCGCGTTGAATTGGTATTTTCCTACTTTGACCTCCATTTCTTTATGTATTTATTATATCCGCTTCGATTCTTCGACAGAAATGACAAAGTTTGAATCTTTATTCAATCTGTCAAAGTGAAGATTTGGGTAGTAAAAACAAAATTCGGTGGCGGTGGGTCTTAATTAGGTCCGTCTTGGCAACAATTCCATTTTTATTATAGAGAAGCTTGGCAATCTTATACACATATATTGAGGTAAATAAATTGGGGGTGTTTACTTTTGGAGGTAATTTTTGAGTTGTTTTTGGGTTTCATTAGATTTTTTGATAAAATGGAGGCAAAAACAAAAAATGATGAAGAACAGAGAGCGAATTGTTGTAACCCAGTTAAGAAACAAGGGCCAGTAACAATGGACCATGTTCTATTGGCTCTAGGAGAGACCAAGGAAGAGAGAGAACAGAGGATTCGGTCTCTTTTTAATTTCTTTGATGTCACCAATTCCGGGTATTTAGACTATAACCAGATTGAGAAAGGCCTTTCTGCTCTCCAAATACCTGCAGAATACAAGTATGCTAAGGATTTGTTGAATGTGGTTGATGCCAATAAAGATGGGCGTGTTGATTACCAGGAGTTCAAGAGATATATGGACGATAAGGAACTTGAGCTGTACCGTATTTTTCAAGCCATTGATGTTGAACATAATGGTTGCATTTTGCCAGAAGAGTTGTATGATGCACTTCTTAGGGCAGGTAAATTTTAACTCTCCATTTGGATGTGCTAATCATGAATTTATGCTTCTCCTTAGGTTGCTTAAGAGTCATTCTATTATGTGATATTTTCCTCGATTTCTAGTCTAAACTGACTGGTTATCATTACCAGTAATCTTGCTGATTATTGAATGCCCTTTGACGCGCATTGCTTACTGCTTAGGGAAATGGATTTTGAGTACTACGACTTAATACAATAGCCAAATGCTATTAACTTGAATGCATGGCAATTTGTCTCGACCCTGTCACTAGTAGAGGAAGAGATGCACTGGACCTGGAAATTAGACCTGGATCTTCCACTCACAACTGCCTTACTTGTTATCAGGAATGTGAACCCACTAATTTCTTGTTTTGTATGTAGGTCAGAGCTTGCACAAGATATTTTATGCATCTTTTATACAGAAGAATGTGGATTATGGAAATAATTATGAGAAATCAGTTCTTTGCATGGCAATTTTTCTCCACCCTATTTTAAGTAGAGGAAGAGATGTACTGACTCTTGAAATTAGACCTGAATCTTCTACTTACAACTCTGCTTGTTATGAGGAATGTGTACCCACTAGTTTCTTCTTTTGTATTCAATTAAGAGCTTACACAAGATATTTTATGCATCTCTTGTACAGAAGAATGTGGATTATGGAAAGAATTATGAAAAATCAGTGCTTTGTAGCTGCTGCTTAGAACAAATTGATCACAATGCTGAAGTGATGATAACCAGTTTGTTGTACATAAGAGTTTATATTGTTTAGAAGCACATGCCATAGATTGTTTCAACATACAACATTCATCACTTGTGTTTGCCTTTTCCTGTCCTAATCTTTCTTTTGGACAGTAGTGTTTGGGAATTAGGAACGATATTTTGTAGGTTCATTCTATAAGCCACACCAGTCTTTCTTTTGTAGGGATTGAAATTGATGATGAGGAGCTTGCACGTTTTGTTGAGCGAGTTGATAAGGATAACAATGGTGTTATAACTTTTGAAGAATGGAGAGACTTTCTTCTGTTATATCCTCATGAGGCTACCATTGAGAACATTTATCATTACTTGGAAAGGGTATGCCTTGTTGATATTGGGGAACAGGCTGTTGTCCCAGAGGGCATAAGTAAGCACATTCATGCGTATCGATATCTGATTGCAGGGGGAGTAGCAGGAGCAACATCTCGTACAGCAACTGCACCTCTTGATCGTCTAAAGGTTGTTTTGCAAGTCCAAACAACACATGCTCGTCTAATGCCAGCAATAAGGGATATATGGAAGGAAGGGGGTGTCTTGGCATTTTTCCGAGGCAATGGATTAAATGTCTTGAAAGTGGCACCAGAAAGTGCTATCAGATTCTACACTTATGAAATTCTGAAAGATTTCATTGTGAAAGCTAAAGGACAGGGGAATAAGGCTGATATTGGTACTACAGGCCGACTCTTTGCTGGCGGTTTGGCTGGTGCTGTGGCACAAACTGCCATTTACCCGATGGATCTTGTGAAAACCCGATTGCAAACTCAAGCTTGTGAAAATGGAAAAATTCCGAATCTAGGGTCAATGACAAGGGATATATGGGTTCAGGAAGGACCAAGGGCATTCTATAGGGGCCTTATTCCATCTCTTCTTGGAATCATCCCTTATGCAGGCATTGATCTTGCTGCATATGAGACCTTAAAAGATATGTCCAAGAAGTACATTCTGCAAGACAGCGGTAAGGTCTTTCTTATTTCCTATTAGCAGCTTTATATATTTTTTAATGAAATAGCTTCGATCTTTTATATATGTATTCTATCTTTTTAAATACCTTTTCATGTTGTATGTTGACACTCTTCCGTTCCTTTTTAGAACCCGGTCCACTTATCCAACTGGGATGCGGAACTCTATCTGGAGCTCTAGGCGCAACTTGTGTTTATCCATTGCAGGTTGTCAGAACAAGGTAATATATGTATACACATAATCGTCATGGCATTTGATATTAACTATCACTTCATTTTGGAGTCACTGCATATTGGACTAATTCTGCTTTTGCTCTTCAGAATGCAAGCTCAGCGCCGCTCTAACACAGGTGCTGCTTACAACGGAATGTCTGATGTGTTCAGAAAAACCTTTCAACATGAAGGGATTAGGGGATTCTACAAAGGGATATTTCCTAATATGCTCAAAGTGGTTCCATCTGCAAGCATTACTTATATGGTTTATGAGGCCATGAAAAAGAGTCTAGATTTGGAATAGCAATAAAATATGCTGCTGTATCAGATTGCTACAACAATGGATATGGCTAACTGTCTGCACAACAAATCGTTGGGGTAGTCTGGTGATGAAGATGAAAATGACAAGAATAAGTAAATTTACTAATTGAGTAGATTAGGGTTATATCAATTATTATTACAGAAAATCTTGCATCTAAACATATTTAAGGGCAAAATTGGGTTGTCCATCTTTGTTGATGAGTTGATATGAATTCGCACATTTGTTGTACGATACGGAAGCAACAGGATAAATGCATTCAAAAACAGATTTTGTAATTCTTTTTAGTGGCAATTTTTGTCAGAATTACTATAACATGCCCTATTTTTTTCCAGGATGCTTTCTCCTTTGCATGCCTGCATGGCTTTTGTTGCTTTTTTCTGTAAGTTAGTTGTCTTAGGCTACTAAACTAAGAGGGCACTAATGGTGAATGCATGTACAATCTAACGATAGATCCAGATTCGAATCCTCCATAACTCAATACTCAAAAAAAAAAAAAAAAAAAAAAAAAAAAAAGAAATGGTGAATGCATGTAAATCTAACGATTCGATTCGAATTCTCAATATCAATACTCAAAAAAAGAAAAAAAAAAAAAAGAATAAGGAATACCAAATGGAAAGAGTGGCAGCTGAGTTAGCAATATTGATGCTCAAGCTTCCTTGGTTTAAAAAAAAAAAAAAAAAAAAAAAAGAATAAAAGGAATACCAAATGAAGAGTGGCATGCACTGAAGTTATGCCAAGTATTGCATTGCTCAAAGCTGTCCTTGGTTTGTTTCTAACAAGCCTTGCTTTCCTTCATTTTCGAGTCCAACAAATTGCAGAAAGCAAGTTTGTTAATCCCATTCTAAGATCCAGTGGCTGTTTTGATAAGCATAATAGCATAATATAATTTAATTGAGTGCATTTTTAATTTAAATATTCGACTAAAAATGTATTTGATTAATTTCGTTTTAATATTGCTGATTGTGGCTTATTTATGCGGTGGATTGGACTTACATTTTTTTTAAAATATTAATTGTTCATGAAAAACTTCGAAACACTAATTTTAATAATGTCAGAATAATATTCTCAAAAATATATATATTGTCAGAATAATGCTTGGTGTATTTTAATTTGCATGTATATAACAAAAAAAAATATTTTTAAAAATTTCACCTTAAAGCTCCGGTTTTTAAGATAACAATTTGTTTAGGAAATATTTTCCAAATTTTTTGATCTGTGAAGTGCTTAAGAAAATTAGTTGACAGAAATGTTTTTATAGTTGAAAGAAAATCAAATCATTTCGAAGAAAAATGATTTTTTCATTTTTTGGGAAAAATTTGTCTTGGATGTTGACAAATTTATGTTAACTTCATAAAAATATTCATTAATATGTTAATCACAGATGGTCATTGTTAATAGTAAATTTTTAAAATATAATTTTTTTAATTATAAATATATTTATAATCTCTTAAATTAAAGATTTTTTATATTGCAAAGAAATAATAGAAATTAAATTATTTTTTTAAAAAAATTTATTTTTCGAAAACAAATAGAAATTTTTTTTTTTTTTCTAAGTGTAAAGCAATATCTTTAACCGGATAGAGTTAACAAAATTTTCAATTTTTTATGCTAATAAATTAATGGATGACCCTTTTACAAAAAAGTAGAAAAAAAAAATTATGGATGACCATAGTGTTGTAGCCACTAAGCTACATGATTTTCCACAAAAGGAATAACTTTGATACCTTGCTTAATGTACGAAAAAGAAAGAATATAAATAAATGAGAATACAATAAAGTGGACGCAATTACACAAATAATGTAAGAGAGATTGTTTTTATTTAATTGTCGCGTCAAAAAAATGAAAAAACTTTTGAATAATACTCTCCAACGCTAATGTGTATTTAGGATATTAAAAAATAAATAAAAATTTGGTAATCAAGCTGAGATGTCAAGGAATGGCATTTGGTAAGATGGTGCATGTGTTTTTAAAGTTTGGTTTTACCAATTGCTGTCTGTGGTGGTCTGATTTGGACCGTTAGCAAGCAAGGATCAGAATGTCTATAGGTCGCTTGGTGAGATGGAGAGTTGCGGCGCGGTTGTGAACGCAGCTTTTTCTCTGGCATTGCAAAACGCAACTTTTACACTGTCGTGTGGTCCTTGTCATTGCCAGCTGTTAACTATGTCAGTTTTGTATTTATAGTATTATGGTCAATGCAATTACGGGAAAAGGTGTAAACATGCCGAGTAGAGTTATAATTAGCTCGAATCCATATGATAAGTATGTGCTCGACCGCGATTCGTTTGAAAAAAAGAAATTAAGTTTGAGCTCATCGAACTAAGTTTTAAGTTCGAAAGTTACTGAAGTGATATGGTGTTGTTTTCATATATATTTAATTGAACTAGCTTCGCAAAGTGATAATTAGATTTATAAAGCTGACTAACGAGTTATCTCGGTAAAATTGACTTACGAGCTAATGAAATATTATGGAATAAGTTTAAACAAGTTTTTATCATATCGAGTCTCAAGCAACTCATAAGCGACTCACTGATTTAGAGTCATAATTGTAAAGTTCTAAATTAAATTAATCTCAAATAAAATGAATGTGGGAATAATAAAAAAAAATATAGTTTTAACATATTTTCTTCTCTATTAAATATGAAAACTTGTTTTTCAGTAATGAAATATAAAGGGTTAAAATTTTAGTTTATTAAAGGATTCTTTTGGCATGTTTTTTATTTTTTACATTGGCTCTGATTTTTGTTTTTTTGAAATGGTAAAAAATGAAATTATAAAATATATTTTTAGTATTTAATATGTTAAATGAAAAAAACAGGTTAACACACAGTAAGAGAATAATATAAAATATAGTTTTCTAAATAAAAAAAATTATTAACTCACTTTTTAAGTCATAAACTTTTGGTATAAGACAACAAAAAACCAAAATAAAAAAGCATAATTAATACCAAATATAATTTGGTTCTTATGTTGCAATTTTAGTATATATATTAAAGGAAACATTAAAAAAATCATATTTTAGAATTTGGATGAGTGGATGGAGATAGGCATTTCCATCCAATAATTCAAGCCTGCAGTGCAAATGGGCTGTGCTTTTTGAACTAAAAATTGCAATTTCCAATCCTTATACTTAATGATTCCTCCGTTCCATTTTGTTTATCTGTTATTCTTTTTTTAGATGTCTCAAAATATTTGTGAGATTTCTAAATTTGTACATATAAAAAATTATTTTTTCCATAATAATCTTTATGATTGTTTATCAAATAAAAGACTTTTATTAGCATCTTAATGAGTTATTTTGAGTAAAAATGGACAAAATAATTTTTGTTGATTTAAATTTTTAATATGCGTGTTTTGTCAAACTATACAAAAAAAATGGAACAGAGAGAGTATTTATTTACATATTATATAAAAATTGTAACTTAAAGTTACTTTGAATGCAATTAATGAGTCAAAATAAAAAAAAAAAATCATACCATTTAGAAATTTCATTACTTATATCGTTCAATTCTTAAAATTTCAGCTCTTAATTTTTACTAATTTTATATCAAACAAGAATTAAATTATAAAAATTCTGCAACATTTGAAGAGTGTGTATATGGATTTAGAAGAATCTTTTGTGATCAAAAAGCAAATACGTGGGTGAAATTTTGTTTGTCAACATTATGAAAACGACAATTCGTCTTTACAAAAAATGAGAAAGGACAATATGTTGGAATTTTTATTTTTAAAAAGAATTGAATTATTCTTTTTATTATTATAATTATTGGAGCAATCATAATCACAACCCAATATTTTTTTGCTATAATATAGCAAATTATATTTAATCTCCTAAAACCTCTTTTTCATTAAAATGTTCAATAGATGGTTATGCAATTACAATATGAAAATGGCATAGATGAAGTAAGGTTACATGATATTTCTAGCAATTAGACTCTTTTTTTTTTTTTTTTTGGAACATAATAAATTTATAAACTCAAAGGATATTAAATAACCAAAAATATATTTGATTTAACTTAGATTTAGAACAATTTTTACTGTAACGGACTGAAATATCTAAAATGCTTTCAACAGGTTCATACGATAGTTTTGACTCTGTAATATTTTAAACATTTCATTCTGTTAGCTTGAAAATTATGTTAGGCTAAATTGAACAATTTTGCATGACTCATTAAATATATGCGCATGAAAATATATTTTGTAAAAAATAAAATTAATTTGTTTCAGTGATTATTTTTAATAGTACTAAGATTATTAGCTAAATTATAATCCTAAATTAAATTAAATTAAAAAAAAAAACGATAAGTGTGAAATGAGAGTTGTCTGAAAGTGCATGACCTCAATGAAAAGTAGTGTTAAACAACTATTTGTCTTGATATAATTTGGAATAGGTATCTTTGTGATGTTGCTGTTGCCACATGTGTCATGTCCTTAATTTACTGCATAAACTACAAAACAAAAGTGTTTGACTTCAAGTAAACGCTTTCAATTCTAATCTGTTCCTCAATTATTATTGGACAGAGTACTCATCCCCTCGTACGTGGATTAAATCAAATGTTATGATTATCAGAAATTGAATCGATAGTTTGCAGTCGGAAAGATTCAGAATAAAATCAATCGAACCGTTGTTAAAATCAATCAGTTGCAACTGATTCCAGCTGATTTTGATTTCAGAACTAAGAACCGGAATTGATTCTGTCATGTTGTATAACCAAAGTGGAACCCTAAACGTAGGGCTTTGTGCTTAGTTTTTTTGTTGGTTCCTTTGTACATAAATTATTGGCATTTGGCATATGTTAATTGTTTGTGATACTGATCCTTAACGACTTGTATGATTTTGCAAATTCGCAAGTCAATAACTCAATATTTGTCACAATCACATTTTTTTTTTTTTAATTTGTATGTTTCGAGATTTTTTTTTATTTTTTTAAAGATGATTTTAAACCTGCATCTCACGTCAATCTGATATATTCAAAATTACTTTTTAAAAAATTTTTGGAATACTATTCAATAAATTAGTTTTTAACCAAGCTTCTGAAACCATTTATAGTAACTAATTGCATTAATCTGGTTAGGTGTAACATTACTATCTTTGCCATATAGAGCATTTTTATTTTTTTATTTTTTTATTTTTTCAGTGACTGTAAAGATAAAGACAGGATGATATGTCTCCACATCGATCAACATGACCCACAGTGATCACGTGTTTTGAAATTTTGAGCAAATTCTTTTTTTTTTTAAAACATTAATTCATTATTGTCGATTGGGTGTGGTCCGGTTGACCTTCTTACTTATACGAAGAATATGAAACCTTTTAACTATAAGTATTTTCAC